TAATTGCAAAAAATGGCGATAATTTTACTTTGTTGATTATTTGTGACTTTATGTCTGCTGCAATGTCATCGATTCTACGCTTGACTGTATTATCCGAAAGAGAAATAGATTTCATTTTTTGCTCTGCATCTTCTCCTAAAATTATCTGCGTGGCTTTTAGGACACACGGTTTTATTAATTCTTCACCAATAGTATGAGGTTTCTTTTGCTTTGCTATCATAAAAGCTATTTCAAATGAAGCTTTGAGATGCTGCGATACACCTTTGTGATAACTTCCCGATTTATCCAATCTCATCCGCTTGAGTGATTCTGCTTTAGAAGAAAAAAACTCTTGCGTCTTCAAAACCAGAGTAGGATGTTGTACCTTCAAATGTCTTTCAAGGCGATTGGGCCTCATGCTATCATTACTTAAAACTTTCATACATATCACACACTGAGGTAACTGTAACTCGTCTTTTTCTATGAAGGTAAATCCAAACTTAATATAATCTTCGGAAAACTTTCTTTTTTTCGCTGCCATTTTGCAACCTATAACAATAAAACAGTAATAAATAAACAAGCAAAATACCTACATGTAATTACTATTTATAAATGCCCATTTATCTTAATAACGTAATGTATTTAACGTTTCAAAATTAATTCGCCACGTAGGTTTGATTGTAATGTGTTAAAAAAGATCCAATGATCGATCTACGAACGCATCTTAGCTCAATCAATAATTTAGTAAATTAAATAAAAATGACAACTGTAGTTTGTAAATACACAAACTTACCTTTTAACAGTGAAACACAATAATTATACACACTCAAACTAATTTCTCAGCAACAATTTGATACCGAAACGTCAAATTTTTCGTAAATTTGTGTGAATGAATGTCACAGATGCTCATGCACGTCCGGTAGGTACTCAACTATTTTCTATCTACCTATGATGATCTAATCCTAATTCCTAATGAACGTTATGCGGAATCGGTGCGGAGGGGTTGCACGCGGATTTCATGTAGTGGCTTGTCGAAACTTATATAAACTGCGATTGACGACGTTGGTGTCGGGTTTTGAAACGGTTGTTGACATATTTAATTTCATTAATTTTATCCGTGTAAATTAAACATTACATTGTAATATTATTTGTAAATGTTGTTTGATTATTTTTTTTTCTTTCTAAAATCGCAAACGTCTTCCGCCCCCTTGACATCTGTCTATGCCCCCCTTTGGGGCATGCCCCCCTGGTTGGGAACTCCGGGATTAGATAGTCCTGCATTAATAATTGTAGAGCGTACATCAAGCGTACATGAGAAATCTGAGACAATATAATCAATTATGGTAGATGTTGTTTTAGTAATTCTTGTAAGAGAGTCAACGTGCATTGTAAAACTCTACCCTAAAAACCTGACAAAAATCCATCGTCAGACCTGTAATAACATACGGATGCGAAACGTGGACCATGACCAAAGCAAACGAAGAAAAGCTCAGACGCTTTGAACGAAAAATACTTGAAAATTTTCGGACCTCACCATGACATCACCACAAACCAGTATAAGATCAGAACCAATATCGAATAAAAGCACTCTACAACGACGCCGATATTGTACAAGAAATTAAATCACAGCGACTAAGATGGGCAGGCCACGTGCACAGACTGCATAACGAAAGACTTGTAAAACTGGTATGGGAGGAGATTCCCACAGGCAAAAGACCACTCGGACGTCCCAGAATGCGATGGAGAGATAACATCCAAGCAGATCTCCGGAAAATGAACATTCCATTTGACCCTAGGTTGATGGAAGACCGAACAAATTGGAAAAAAGTTGTACAGTCAGCCAAGACCTACCAGGTTAGCGCTACGTGATGATGATGATGACGATACGAATATATTGGCTAAGGATAATTGGATAACACAAGCAATAGCGTAATAAATATTCAAGTCATTGTATAGAATTTTCTTTGCTTTTGTTTAGCAGTTCGTCTAACAAATTTAGCAGATTCTAAAAATGTAGGGGAAGTGTGCCTATGTTGGACCCCTGCCTATGACGGACCCCCGGCTGCAATTTTAAATAGCGCGCGGTTACATACACATCGCCGACTGCCGCTTGCGCACGAAGTTTGTAGTTTAGTATTTGCAAAGTTTCAGACACGTGGCTGTTATAACAGTAAATTTGTGAAATAAAATTAAAATTTGGCGTTGCTGATCTAATAAATTTTTTTGGTAAGTAGCATTTTACTGGTAACATACGTTAAGCTAAGTGTTGCTTTTGTTTTGTATAAAATGACTACACTTTCTTTGTCAAATACTATACTTTGTTTTAGGTTAAAATGGTCAAAACAAAAGTAACAGAATTAAATTTGCTGCCTTGTCTATTTGCCTATGATGGACCCCTGTGTCGTTACCTATGACGGACTAGGGGTCCATCATAGGAAAAAGAAAATAAAATTGGACACACCTTCAGTTTTTGTTACTTAATGATTAACATAATATGTTTTACAGGGATGGCTCTCCAAAAAATGCAACAGTGGAACGAGAGTAATATGCAACAAGCTTTAAAAAGCATACAAGAAAAAACTATGGGGTTTAAGCTGGCAGCAAAAACATTTAACGTTCCAAAAACGACTTTGAAAAGGCGCTTTATTAAGCATCAAGGAAGTATCAAAGGTGATTTGGGAGGACGAAGACCAATATTCTCCACTACTATTGAACAGGAAGTTGCTGACCATATTATTACTATGGAAACTCGTTTTTTTGGCCTGACTAGTAAAGATTTGCGAAAACTTGTATACGAAGTAGCTGAAAGAAACAATATTAGCCACAATTTTAATAAGGAAACCAGGATGGCAGGCTGGAAATGGGTCAGAGGCTTTTTAAAGCGAAATCCTCGAATATCATTACGCACTCCAGAAAATACTTCGTTAGCAAGGGCTCAAGCTTTTAATAAACCAAATATATGTGCCTATTTTACTGCATTAGCAAATATATTAGACGAGTTTCACTTTCCACTGGAAAACATTTATAATATGGACGAGTCCGGTTTGACAACTGTGCAAAAGAAATCGCAGAAAATTTATGCTAGTAAAGGTCGCAAACAAGTTGGTGCTTTAAGTAGTGCAGAGCGCGGTCTACATGTTACGGTCGTATGTGCAATGAATGCAATTGGAACATATGTTCCTCCTGCTTTGATTTTTCCTCGACAGAGAAAGAAAGATGAACTTATGATCGATGCACCTACTGGAAGTATAGCCTTCGCTCAAGAAAAAGGATGGATGACTTCCGATATTTTCTATTTGTGGCTGCAACATTTTTTAAGGTATACAAAGGCTTCTAAAACCAACAAAGTTTTGTTGTTACTCGATGGCCATGGTAGTCACAAAAGTTTTGAAGCTCTCCAGTTTGCAAAGGAAAACGGTATTATTATGTTTTGTTTTCCTGCTCACTGTTCTCATCACGTTCAACCCTTGGACGTAGGATTTTTTAGACCACTTCAAATTTACTACGGCCAAGAAATTCAATTATGGCTGCGACAGAATCCAGGTAAAACGGTGACCCAATTTAAAGTAGCCAGTCTCTTTAATAGAGCGTATTTAAAAAGTGCTTTACCATCAAATGCAATCAATGCATTTAAAAAGACAGAATTACAACCATTCAATCCAGATGTCTTCGAGGATTGGCAATTTTTGCCGTCTATAACAACAGATAGAGAAAATTCTGAACAAAACCCACTGCCAGAATGTTCTGACCAGAAGTCACCACCGGAACATTGGAGCCAAAATGTTTCTTCGATTGAAAGTTTATCAAAAAGCCCCACTGATCAGAAATCAACATCATCGTCAGTTCTAAACATCTCGGTAGAAGATATTTGTCCTCCTCCTTTAGCTGGAGTATCTCAAGTAATGCAGAAAAGGGGTAGAAAACGGGGTAAAACAGGATATTTAAATTCAACGCCAGAAATTGAAGATATAAGACAAAAAATTGCAGACAAAGAAGCAAAAAAAAAGGAAACAAGATGCCAGAAAAGTGAAAAGGCAAGTTCGTGTTTCAACTACAAGTGTTTCTGAAGACGATTGTGAATGCTCTTTTGTAGAAGGCGACTCGGACGATGCAGCTTGCATCTACTGTAACGAACTATTTTCGCATTCACGATCCAATGAAAAATGGATTCGTTGTCAAGTGTGTAAGAATTGGTGTCACACTGAATGTGCAGATGTAAATCCTCGACATAAACAATTTGTGTGTGAATTGTGCGCGTAATTTTTTTATTCTTAAAAATACCATGTGTAATATTTTTTATCGTTTGTAATGTCTTTTGATCTAATAAAATAATTTGGTATTTAATTATTTTACACAAAATGCAACGAGTCCATCATGGGCGTACCAAAGGGTCCATCATGAGCGCATATATGCCCATGATGGACCCTTAACAGGATTTTAGTAAATTATGAATAAATTTTTAACATCACTTTTTGTGCAAAATTTGAAACATTTGCCATATTGTACAAATAACGAGACGTTATGTGGTCATAGTTAAAGTCTGCTAAGTAAATAATTAAAATTATTATGAAGCTATTTTCTTAAGGGGACCATCATAGGCACATTGCCCCTAGTTCCGTGGAAGAATCAGGTCATCTTTAAATGTAAAGAATTGAATAATATGAACAACCATGAATTTAAAATAATATATTCAACTTTTTTTTATCAACTAAAATTGTTCAACTAAACTTGATTTTAAAAATGTGTATTTATATGAAACCTAGCCTGAATTTCTATAAATATTAAATTTTATGTAAATTTAACAACATATCACCCGAACAAATACTGACGTCGATAAAAATGCTATTTACGAAGCCTTAAGGTGCTCATTGCATATTGAAAAATGTTTTGTTTCATGATATTTAAATATAATATATCAAAATCCATGAAATAGTATTGTTTCTAAAACATATAAAAAGCAGCTTTAAACCGTGTTTAACAGTCGTACTTTCGCTAATTCGGATAATAAAACGGAATTTAGAATGTGTAATGTTCGGCTTTGTTCTATATATTTGATTGTGTCACTCTCTTTAAGTAAGCATTTCCAATTATTAATATTTTCAGTAGTTGTACAGTAGACTCGCGATTATCCGAGGTAATTGGTACCGTGACTACCTCGGATACCGAAAAAACTCGGTAAACCCTGAGATTGGTTATACTGATAGAAAAATGTGTACCTACGTAAATAATGATTAATATTGACGAATATAATTTACCTTATAAATGTTATATATTTATACTGCTTAAAGTATTTGATTGATTTTAGTTTTAACTGCATTCCTCTTTTTGAGGCAACGATGTTGGAGGACGTCTAATGGTGTCAGTTTTTCTTGTTACTCGATGTATGCGAGAGCTGCTTCAAGGTACTTCAATCTCAATTCTCTCAATGTCTCTTCTTCATCTTCTTCATGAGTGACGTTTAGAACTAGATTGGCAATTGCATCATCTGTCAACAGATTCAGATTCAACAGATTCAACTTTCTTCATCTAGATTCATCCAATCGATGATGTCTTGGTTTCCGATTGGTTGTTCTACTGGTAATTGATTGGCTATATAATCAACTTTAAAGTCATCAGCTTCATTTTGAATGTCTTGTGTTTTGTTGTTTATCTTAAATAATTTTTTTCACGACTTCTGGATAGTGGACACTTTTACGTTGTCCCAAGCAGATGCAATCCAATAGCAAACATCTTTAACCGTGATCTTCTTCAATGTCTCAATTACAGTCAGCCCCTCATTCAGCTTAGTTAGCAGTACCTGAAGAAGCTTCCGCTGATAATTCCTCTTCATTGCTTCTATAACGACTTGGTCTAGGAATTGGAGGAGAGACATCACATTGGGTGGAAGGAACACAGCTCGTATGTCACAACTAATCAATTCACTCGCATCTGGGTGGGATCGTGCGTTGTCCAACAACAACAAAGCTTTCTGGGGTAGATTTTTGTTTATTAGGTAGACATCAATGACTGGCACAAAGTCGTTAAAAAACCAGTCCTTAAAACTGTTACAGTCCATCCATGCATTGCGTTGGTTGCTATAGACTGTAGGTAAGCAATGTATTTAGACATTTTTGAATGCTCTTGGATTTCTGGATTTTCCGATTAAGAGAGGTTTTAATTTTAATGAACCAGAAGCATTGTTGCAAATCATGATTGTGACTCTTCCTATGCTTTTTTGTAACCTGGTGCAGTTCCTTCATTTTTAGCAGCTAGTGTTTTCGATGGAAGCATTTTAAAGTTAAGGCCTGTCTCATCACAGTTGAATATTTGGTCTGAAGTTAGTCCATCTTTAAAGATAATATCTTGTAATTTTAAATAAAATGTTCCGATTTCAGTTGAGTCAACAGAAAGTTTTTTCGCCACAAATACGCAATTATCGGATGCCATACTTCTTTTTTCATAAGTCAATCCATACTTCACTAGCACAAAAGTTTTCTGCTCCATCCATAAACTTATTCTGGAATTCAATAGCTTTTACTTGGAGTATTGGACCACTTATCGGACTGCCCAATCGTCTTATTTGTGAAAACCACAAGAACAATGCCTCAGAAGTTTGTTCATAGTCCCCTTTGTTCATAGTCTTCCGGACCAATCCACTACCACCACTCACACTTCGGTTGACCCACTGTTCGATTTCATTCCGCTTACGCTTCCAATCTCCAATAGTTACTTCTCCGACACCTAAATCTGAAGCAACATTCTTTTCACCCTTGTCCAACCTCTTCACTACTCTCAACTACTCTCTTCCGCTTTCCACTCATATTGCACAGAAAGATGCTCTCTTACACTCACAAAAATCTACTTATGAAAAATTAATTATGAAACTGAAACTAATAAACTCGAATAAATACACAAAACGGTACATAAAGTAAAAATTTTACCGTACAGTAACTTAATTTGACGATTTGAACGACAGCAAACAAATAATTTGACGACCTGAATGACAAGAAACAAATTGGTAGTTCAATTCACACTGATTAACAGAGAAAGTAAGAGGAAATTGTAGACAAAACACGACACAGAAATTTCTGGAAATAAGGCAGTGACCAATTTCTGAGAATACCAACTCGACATCAGCTTGACCTAAAGCCTACCTTACACACAATTCTCTTCTTATCAAGAATCCACAATTTTCAATGGATTGCCCATATAACAGCTGCCGATATAACTTGTGACCATCGACCCTTTTTTTATTACTCGATATTGTGATTCAACAGGTACGGCTATAAAAGTAAAACCCAGGAAAAATTTTGCCTCGGTTAACCGAGGGGCTCGGATAACCAAGACTCGGATAATCGAGAGTCTACTGTATTTAATTGCAACATACAATTAATATCTTCCTTTTCTTCTTTTTTTATGTAGACATGACTCGACAACCCTTTCTGGGTACTGATTTGTTGTAGGATTTTCCGCCATTCTGTTCTGTTACTTGCTTGTGTTTCCATATTGTTCTGAAGCTATTTTCTTGTGGCATTTTAAATTAATTAATATTTAACTGGGAATAAGCCACAATTAAAGATAAAAATACGTTTATTGACGTTTCAATTTCCACTTCGGAAATCGTTCTCAAAATACAAACAGTAAATTAAACAAATTTTGTTTTTTGTTACATAGTGAAAAATTCTTCTAATAATTTAATTTTATCTGACTCATTTATATTGACAATTCAGACATACATTATGCATTTTAAAGTAGACGACTTTAAAATGATATTGCCAATATTGTTGAGTTGCGCTCCTGGGACGACTTTACTTATAAGATAGTTCATTCGATTACATGAAATCAACTTTAACTTGAGAATATCCGTCAGAAAAAATCATAGCATGTAATTCGTCTTTAAAAAGACAAACACATGACATGATGACAGTAAAATTCTCCTGTTAGTGATTCCATAGTAAATTATGAGGGAAAAACCAGGAAAAAACCTCATAATACTATCCCGACATGGTAAGTATTTGTTCGTGCATTTAGTTTACCTTCAATAAACACCAAAATTCTGATTTTATATGTTTCGTTATTTAAAAAACATAAATGATGTATCCTCTATATGTTACTGACTTACTAATACTGGTATTTTCTTATTAATAACTTCCTCTTTCAATATTGGTAACCAGATCCTACTACATTCTGCCGAGGAATTTGCGACACAATTGGCCTCATTTAGCATAATTAAAGCCGCTTCTTTGATTTTTCTTTTTTTACCATCCGTCTCTTTTAGGACTACATTTGAATTATTCCATTGAACCCTATGTTCATTATCCCATGCGTGTTTACATATTTGAGATCTATCAAATTCTCTATTTTTAATATAAGACTGATGTTCACTTATTCTAACATTTATGGCCTTGATGAACTAATGAGGTGTTCCTGATGAACTAATGTTCATCAGGAACACCTCGATGCCTAACTTGGAAAAAGAAATTTTCTAGACAATCTTGATTGAGTCTATGTAAGCATATATATATATATTATATATATATATATATTATATATATATATATATATATATATATAGTAGTTTTGAGTTTCTTGAACCGTATTATATTTAATATAAAATTAATGTTTCTTGGGTTTAGGTTCAATAAAGATATGTTACATGTGGAACTAGATTTTATTTTCCATTGCAATCAATCAACGTTTCGGCAGGAAACCCTTGCCTTTGTCAAGATTCTAAAATGTGTATATATATAAGGACAAACAGATATTTTAAAATATGTATATATATATATATATATATATATATATATATATATATATATATATATATATATATGACTTACCAAAACGTAAAACGTGACACAGACATTAACGAACTGACATATAAAAGTTGATATCTGATATCTCATTGTTTACTGTCATTAGTATATAATTATTTTTATATGAGCGTATCGTTGATGTTTTCGAAAAAGGTAAGGTGGAGATATGTTATGACTTTAAGAGCTTTTTATGATGTTATATTATTATTGTTTAAATCAGATTGAAATATATTTTATTTAGGTTTTGTGTATCTTTTTTGTCATTTATTGCGTTGGTGTTTCTTTTTATTTCTATTGATTCGTATATCTCCCTCTTCTTTTTGTTTTTTTCTGTTTTTAAAATTCTGATGTTTTCAAAATCAAATTTATGCTTCTTCCCGCTTTCATGTTTTGTGAGCGCAGTGACGTTGTTCTTGTCGTATTTGTGAGAACGAATTCTGGATTGAAGCAGTTGACTGGTTTGACCGATATAGACACCTTCACAGTTTGTACATGGTATCTCGTAAACAACATGTGATTTTTTAAGTTTTGGAGTTTGTGTTTTTAGTTTTGTGAAATATTTATTTAAGAGATTGTTGCCTTTGTGGGCCACTGTTATGTTATGTTTGGCTAAAAGATTGGTTAGTTGTTCAGATAAACCTTTTATATATGGAAGAGTTGTATAAGTGGTTTTGATACTGTTGGGTTTGTTGTTAGTTGTATTGTTATAAAATTTATTGAGTCTTGATTTGAAAATAGTTTCGATTAGATGTTCGGGATATGCATTCTTTAGGAGGGCATTTTTTGCTTTTTTTATTGCAGTTGGTCTGTATTCTGGATCTGTTAGTTTTATAGATTTATCAGCGAGACTTATAATTACAGACTTCTTATGGGAAAATGGATGATGGGAATTGTAGTTAAGATATCGTGAAGACCATGTTTCTTTTGTAAACCACATAGTTTTAACTGTATTGTTAATGCGATGTAAGGTGACATCCAGAAAGTTTATTTTATTATTTTGTTCAATTTCTATAGTGAACTTTAATTTTGGATGGTAACTGTTAAAAATATCTAAAATTTCGGTTGTTTTATTTGTTGGAATAGCACAGACACAGTCATCGATATAGCACAGACACAGTCATCAATCAAGACTCAATAAATTTTATAACAATACAACTAACAACAAACCCAACAGTATCGAAACCACTTATACAACTCTTCCATATATAAAAGGTTTATCTGAACAACTAACCAATCTTTTAGTCCAAACATAACATAACAGTGGCCCACAAAGGCAACAATCTCTTAAATAAATATTTCACAAAACTAAAAACACAAACTCCAAAACTTAAAAAATCACATGTTGTTTACGAGATACCATGTACAAACTGTGAAGGTGTCTATATCGGTCAAACCAGTCAACTGCTTCAATCCAGAATTCGTTCTCACAAATACGACAAGAACAACGTCACTGCGCTCACAAAACATGAAAGCGGGAAGAAGCATAAATTTGATTTTGAAAACATCAGAATTTTAAAAACAGAAAAAAACAAAAAGAAGAGGGAGATATACGAATCAATAGAAATAAAAAGAAACACCAACGCAATAAATGACAAAAAAGATACACAAAACCTAAATAAAATATATTTCAATCTGATTTAAACAATAATAATATAACATCATAAAAAGCTCTTAAAGTCATAACATATCTCCACCTTACCTTTTTCGAAAACATCAACGATACGCTCATATAAAAATAATTATATACTAATGACAGTAAACAATGAGATATCAGATATCAACTTTTATATGTCAGTTCGTTAATGTCTGTGTCACGTTTTACGTTTTGGTAAGTCATATATATATACATATTTTAAAATATCTGTTTGTCCTTATATATATACACATTTTAGAATCTTGACAAAGGCAAGGGTTTCCTGCCGAAACGTTGATTGATTGCAATGGAAAATAAAATCTAGTTCCACATGTAACATATTTTTATTGAACCTAAACCCAAGAAACATTAATTTTATATTATATATATATATATATATATATATATATATATCTAATACCAAAAGCTTGTTTCATATCGACAAATAAAATTTATAAAGATTTCATAGATAACACAATTCCTTTTTGAAAAATTTGCAAAGTATTTTTACCAAAAGCTTTCATTGATGATATTAAACTTTTCATTTTGCATGTTCAAATGAATTCCAAAATCACTTTTAGAAGGAACCTTTCCGTATGGTGTATCATCATCATCATCTTTGGCTCGACAATCCTCTGTGGATCTTGGCCTGCTCTAAGATTCGTCGCCATTCTGTTCGGTTTCTGGCAACATGTTGCTATCTTCTGATTTTTAATATTCGTAAGTCGGTTTCAACTCCATCTAACCACCTAATTCGCGGTCGGCCTTTGCTTCTTCTTCCTACAGGTGTTCCTGTGGTTAGCTTTTTAGCAATCGTATTTTCTGGCATTCGTATTATGTGTCCAGCCCATCTAAGTCGCTGTGTTTTAATGAACGTTATGACATCTGGCTCATCAAAGAGCTGATACAATTCAAAATTATATCTTCTGCGCCACTGCCCTTGGTCGTTTATAGCTCCAAATATTTTGCGGAGTATTTTACGCTCAAATATTCCCAAAAGTCTTTCATCTTTCTGCGTTAGAGTCCATGTTTCTGCTCCATATGTGAGGACCGGCCTCAGCAATGTTTTGTATATAATAATTTTAGTTCTTCTTTGAATGTTTCTTGAGTGGAAATGCTTTTGGAGTCCATAGTATGCCCTATTTGTAAGATTTATTCGTCTTTTGATTTCTTCGCTTGTTTTATTGGTAGCAGTCAATAGCGACCCAAGGTATGTGAAGTTGTCAACACGTCCAAAGGTATGACTTCCAAAGACTGTTTCTCGTTCCTCATTTGCTATCGGATCCTTTGTAACCAACATGTACTTGGTTTTGTCTTCGTTGATGACTAGACCGACCTGTTTCGCCGCTGTTTCCAATTCTAGGAGATATTGCTCAACATCTCGCTTGCTACGCCCTATTATGTCAATGTCATCAGCATATGCTAAGACTTGTATCGATCTATTGTAAATAGTACCGCCATCCTAATTCGTGTATCTCGGACTGCCTTTTCTAAGGCAATATTAAATAGGAGGCAAGCCAGAGCATCCCTTGTCTGAGTCCATCCTTTATCTCAAAGGATCTAGAATTCTCTCCCTGTATTCTAACAGTGGCTTCTAAGTTAGACATTGTCATTCTCGTTAATCGGATAAGTTTCTCTGGTATACCAAACTCATGCATTGATTGGTATAGCACTGTTCTCTTGACACTGTCGTATGCGGCCTTGAAGTCGACGAATAGGTGAAGGGTTACAATATTGAATTCTAATGTCTTCTCGAGAATCTGTCTTATTAAATGAATCTGCTCAATTGTCGATTTTTCTGGAGTGAACCCAGCTTGATACTTACCAATGGACTACATATAACCATAATTAAATAGTCTCATAAGACCGTTAAATCGCTAGTATAACAAAACAATCGGCAGCACGCAAAACTATTTTATAGAATTTCATCTCACAGTCCCACGCCAACGTCACACTCAATACAGCGAGCGCATTTCTTACATTTGAGCATAGGACAGAATCTAAATTTATCCTTCTAGTTAACAGTTCTTGGCACAGGACAACAACCTGTAAACACAAAACACCAGTATATGGAACTTATCACGAAAATACCAAAACAAAGTTAACAAATCACAGATAAACAACGGAATATAATTAAATCAGAAGAGGAAATAATATAAAGATAATTTTTTTTTGTTTTTAAACTTTATTTACTTTGTTTTAGGTTTGTACATAGTCTATCCATGTTCCTGTCAATCTACGAATGGTAAAGATTATGGAGGAAGCATAAGTAGAGGTAATTCTAATATCTTTTTTACAAATTATCTCTATAACACGTTTTTTCCAAGAGGACATAATATGAGAAAATCAAGCTCTTACGTAGATATGTATATTTATAACAACAAACTTCTTTTCTTTTGGTTTTGTTTTAAATATTATTTAAATAGCACACAATTAGTAAACAAAGACTATAAACTTCTGTTGTTTTTTCTTATATCTTGCTTTTTTTGAAATGATCTTAGGTCTGCTTGCCATTATGCTAAATTGCGGTACTGAATTTATTAGTAAGTACTAAAAATAATATATCTAGATACAAATTAGATGCGCGCGCTGATTCAGTACTAAAAATTAGAGCATGCTTTAATTTCTTATATTAAAAATAATTATTAATATTAACTAAAAGTGAGGTTATTCTCAACTGATCGTAACAATTTTCATTCGTAAAACGTTTTTATATGCCAAAAAAGTCTTCTACTAATAATTCCTCATTCAACATATTTGACATTTCTTTGCACAACCCTCTTCTCTTCATCTATTTTTTCTCCACATACGCTTTTTTAAGAAGTGTATGATTTTTTTTCTTAAGCATTATTAATACAAAACCCAGATGTGCCCATTATGTCTACTTGTGATTTTAATTTTTTTTTCTTATAATGGTTTAATTTAGGGTAAACTAAAATATATTAGACGAAAATGAAATTTATTTTTTTAATAATTATACAAAATTTTGGGCGTCCTATACGTAGGACGATGGACACTTAAGGATATCTACATTAACTGTACACTTTTTGTATGGTATACAAAAAAACATTTGACGTGCAGTCCTTTGTCGCATTTTGAACATCTGGTGGTTGTTTTTTCATGGCAATGTGCACAGCGTGTTTGCTTATTTTGAGGAATTACCAAATGATCCATATGATCATTTGGTAATTTCGTTCCACTGTTCTTCTATGCCTCTAGTAGTGTCTTCAACTATTTTCGCAAAATTCTTATTAATTTCTGTTTTTACTTTTTTCTGGGTGTCATTTTCTTTTAGTAGTCTTATTTAGTTAGTCATATATCTTCCTCATTTTATGACCTCATTTTCTTATTCATTATTTGGAGTCGTATGTTGATATTTGCAATCAATAGCCTATGGTCTGAGAAGACATCTGCGCCTGAATATATATTTTTTTGACGTGATAGAATTTCTAAACCTTTTGTTTATGCTGATAAATTCACCCATCTTTGACACCCATCTTTACAAAGTAATCAGGGGTGCTTTTTAAGTTAAAATAAATTAAATTCATTATATTTTGCTTTAAAAAATTATTGCATTTATAGTTTCAATAAAAAAATATTATAAATATTTATCCCCCTCCATCTCCTCTTTGGATCATGTCCACGCACAAATTTAACACCTCGCTCACCAACTTCGATAAAAATAAGCATCCGAAAAAAATCATTATAAATGCATTTAAAGACATTATAAATACAAATAAATACGACCTAATATTATTATTATTATCCAGATTTAGCCATACGGCTCACACTCCCTCTAAGGGGAAAATTCACTCATCCCAGATACCTACGGTATCAAAAGGATTGAGCTCTGGTGGGACTCTTTCCGTGTTATCGAGCCCTAGGTGACTTGGTATGCTGGAGTATCTCCCAAAAATTTTCGTACACATCGGGACGTTGAGAGTAGTACAGCTTTCTGCATGGTCTTGTAGAGATGTTCATTCAGACCTAGCTTTTTTATATTTTCTAGGAGGTTCTTTGGAATGACTCCAGTAGTAGAGAGAATAATAGGTATTGTCTGGGTACTTTCCATTTTCCACTGTCTTCGTATTTGAATTTCCAAATCCCTGTACTTGGCGATTTTTTCGTTCTGTTTAACACGAAGATTATTGTTGTTGGGTATCGCCACATCAATTAATGTTGTTTGTCTCTTTAGTTTATTAACTAGTATGAGATCTGGTCTATTATGTGCCACTGTTTGGTCTGTGAGCACCGTGCGATCCCAGTATAGCTTGTAGTTGTCGTTCTCAAGTATACTCTCAGGAACATATTGATAATATGGAAGATGGTTTGTTTGAAGAAGTCCCAGTTTGATAGCTATCTCTTGATGAAGGATCTTTCCTACTGAGTCGTGCCGTTCCTTATATTCAGTTGCAGCAAATGCCTGACAGCCCCCGGTAAGATGTTGAATGGTTTCCTGAGCTTGGCATCCATATCGGCATTTGTCATTTTGGACCTGAGGGTCTTTGACGATATATTTCAGGTAATTTTTGGTTGGTATAACCTGATCCTGAATGGCCAGTAGTGAACCTTCTGTTTCGGGGAACATCTTTCCTGATGTCAGCCAATAGTTCGACGCTATATTGTCGACATGGTCTTGACTGACCTCATTGGGATGTCGCCCGTGCAGAGGTTTGCCCATCCAGGTGCGCATTTTTTCGTTCTTAGTAAGGTGGTTTATGCGCATTTCTGGTTCCCTCAGTTTGATCGGTGTTGTGTCATCTACTGCACAAATCGCGCGATGAAGAGTAGATGTCTCCGCCTGCACCTGAAAATAAGTTCTTAAATTAGTAATCTGTTTTTCTAATTGCTCGCTTATATCCATAAGTCCTCGACCTCCTAAATACCGCGGTAATGTCGTTCTTTCTACTGCACTTCGAGGATGGTGTTTTTGTGCCTTTGTGAGGTGTGTTCGTACTTTTCGCTGAAGATTTTCTATATCCGTTTTTGTCCACTTAACAATACCAAATGAGTAGCTAAGCGCGGAACATGCGTAGGTGTTTAGTGCCTTAAACAAATTTTTACTGTTAAGGTGTGAACGAAGCAGCTGTTTTACCCTTCGTATAAACTCAGTTGTTATCTCAGTTTTCATTTGCTTATGGTCAATCTTCCGCGCTTGCTTTATTCCGAGGTATTTATACATATCATTTTCACCCATGGCCTCGATATTCTGGCCGTTTTGCATATCGAATCCGCCGGGCTGAACCTTTCCTTTGATTATATTAAAGACACGGCACTTGTCAAGACCGTGTTATTATTATTATTACTATTATTATTATTATATAACAAATAAGGGCAGAGGAGCGAGCTCCTATTATGCCCAAAAAGCAAAAATAAACAAAAATAAAATATATCCTTATAAAACTAATACTAATTATAAAGTTAAGTACAGTTAAACAATTAACAAAAATTGAATTGTGACACAATAAATAAATAAATAATGCTGTCCGAGAAAAAATATCCTATCCTATAAAAAAAATAAAGCGCTATCAAGTTTATTTTTAAAGATGTTAACACTAGCTGCCGATATGGTGTCTTGATCCAAATTGTTCCAGATATTAAAGATTCTGTTTGGCAAGAAGTTCGCCCTGGACCTTGCAGTAGTTTGTTCCCTCTTTAATTTGTATCGATGGCCTCTTAATCTTTCGTCTTGATTCAAAGTGAATATGGTGTTTAGGTTCCCAAAATTATGTTTTAAAATACGGAAGGACATAATTAGGTCACCTCGAAGACGTCGCTGCTCGAATGTCGTAAGATGAGCCATGAATAGTCTATCTTCATAGTTAGGTCTTACACGGCCGTATGCCAGTCTTGTGGCTTTACGCTGAACGTTTTCAAGTAGGATTTTATCGCGACTGAGATCTGGATTCCACACTGGTCCGGCAAACTCAAGAATAGGTCTAACGTATATTGAGTAAAGTTTACTAACAGAGGTTAGAGATATGCGTGCAAAACATTTACGGATCAAAAACAGTTTCGAGTTAGCACGTTTACACACCGACACTATGTGATCAGACCAATTTAAGTCACTATTAATTATCACTCCGAGATCGTTGTGTGAGGTTACAGAGTTTAAAGGATGTCCATTAATAAAGTACGGCAGTGATGGGTTATTTTTGCCGATATGTAAAACAACGCATTTTTCAATGTTAAGCGGAAGTAACCATTCTGAGGACCATTTGAATATTGCGTCAAGATCTTGTTGAAGAATATGTTGGTTAATAGTTGGATTCACATATAACTTAGTGTCATCAGCGTAAATGGAAACCTTACTGGATACAATGAGCGGAAGATCACTAGTGTAGACACAAAAAAGTAGCGGTCCAAGTACTGATCCTTGTGGAACTCCACTCTTGACTGGCTTATCTAATGAGTGGTCTTCCCCAACACGAACCCCGTCGGAAGTATCTGTCGGATGGAAAATCTTGTATCCAAATGTATTATACACGGATTATATAATTATACACGTTTGCCTCAAAAATGACACAGGAGTAGGCTGCTCTGTTACAACCTCTCATTCACTAATTAAGTCATCACTTATACCAGCCGTCAGCAGCGTTCATACTGGCGAATTATTTAGTATATTGCAAGCTTTTAACCATATATCTCCACCTAATAAGCAGGTTGTCATATGCACAGACTCTTTAGCATCAATCCATTCTATCAAAAATATATTTACCGATCATCCAATCGTCCAAAAGATCCTAGACTCTTACCAAATTATCTTGTCCCAAAACATAACAGTTACCATAATTTGGCTGCCATCTCATATTGGTATAGAAGGCAATGAAACTGCAGATCACTATGCTAAACTTGCTACAGCATCACCTGAAATCACCGATAAAATTCAAATTTGTAAGGACCTAAAATCATATACTAAAAGAAGAACCAGACTCCTTTGGCAGCAGCATTGGAACTCTAACCGTTCGATCTTACACGAAATACAACCGTCAATAACCAATCAGCCTACATTTGACTATTCAGCCCTCTCAAGACGAGATCTCATTGTGATAAGACGACTTCGGATAGGACATTCAAAACTCACACACGGCTACCTAATGTCCTCTAGCATCCGTCCCTCCTGTCAAAGCTGCCAATCATATTTGACAATCAAACATATTCTCACTGAATGCCATCAACATTCGGCCAGAAGATTACAATACAAACTCAAAAGTGAAGTACGAGATATCCTAAACAACCCTGACCAAATAAAAGCTGTG